ACACAAAAATTAGACCAAGTAGTGTAAAAAATTTTTTCAAAAGTCAAAATTTTTCCCCCCATAATCAATTTACATGAAAGGCATTTGCATGTTATCACTTGGATATAGCCCGAGCGGTAACACTTGTCAGTAGCCATCTATTGATAAAGATATCAGTGGTTGCCTAGATGCAGACTGATGGCAGAGTTTTCGGTAAACTTTTGTATTAATAGAAATTTTTTTTCCGATTTTGCATTGTGCAAACGTTTTTCAGTCATTAGCTGACCGTGAAGAATTGTCGGAAAAGTTATGTGAGCTGTCACAAAGCCATGTGGAAGATATTGAACGTGCGCGTGAAAGGGAGCGTGAACTGGAAGAGCAAAAAGATATGGCGGAGAAAAGCCAACGACAAGTACCATTTTTGGCGTTATTTTTATATAAAAAGTACTTATGTTAATTTCCATATAATTCAAATGGTACTTTTTGTTAGCTCTTTCGTCTTTGTGCTTCCAGTTGGAGTAGTGCCTTTATTATCAATTATTCAGCTAGAAATGAGATTTAGGGGCGATTGAAAAGCTAGCAAGCAGTAAATATTGGCAAAGCATTTAATGGATTGAAAGAGGTGTAAGAGAAAAAGAGATAATTCAAACTAATAAAAGATAATTGATAGAATGGGTTAAGAACATCTGAAGCTGAAGAGGAATGTTTCGGTCCGTAAATCGCATACATTCACTTTATTTTTCCGTGTTCAAAAATTTGAAATTGTGCAGGCAGCTTTGGCAGAAAATGAGAGCAATCGTCGCCTAGTGGAATGGCAGGAAAAGAGTGCCGAAATGGAAAGCAGCCGCTTGGAACTTGAAAAAGCTTATGCGCAACTGTCCGAATATTACCAGCAATTGCAGCAAGCTTATAATGCACTGTACGCCCGAGTGCATGCTTACAAAACAGACAGTTGTGTACAGACGAGTACGACAGAACATACTGAGGTTCGATCCGCACATTTCACAGCATCCAACTTTTTGTCTCAAAAAGTAAATCTCTTTGCCTCACTTTCTTGTGAGGTTGTTACCTCAGGGATAAGACACCGACAGTATTTTGTTAACAGAAATTACTCGCCGGGAAGATAAGATGTTTCTTCCAGGTTTAAAATGAAGGACAGGCTGAAGGTGGCTTTATATTGTCTGTGTTTATATGACAGACACGTCTGTATCAATTTAATATCGAAATTAACTACCGAGGGCACAGGAAAGGAGCGAGGGGGGGGGGGGGGAGAGAGAAGGGGCCGAGAAAGAAATGATTTTACTCTGTCTACTTTCTTATGACTTCATTGGTAAAAGTCCGCAAGACTATGTCATGGCTTCAATGCTGCCATGATATCCACAAAAAGCTTGTTTTAGGAAATAACCAAAAAGGTGGAACTTTTGAAAGTTGAACTTGAACAGCGGAAAATGGAATTGAGTGGCCGCGCGACAGAATTGCAGCAGATCCGAGATTTGTTGTCCGTGTATCTTCGAGCAGCATTAAGAAACACGAAGGATCTACGAGAAATTAATCTGAAACTTCTGAAAGTAAAAATTCATATTGTATGGAAAGTAGGTGCTGACAGCATTCATCTTCTG